AAAATCTACATTTTCCACCACTTATTTGCCTAAGTGCAAGACTTCCCAAGTCTTTTACTCCCCTATAGAAGGTGGAAAAAATTATTAATTAATGAACATTTCAATAAAAATGAGTTTTGACTCAAAAGTTTGATAATTGGCAATTGACATACTTTTTTTGGCAATTGACATACCTTTTTAGTTCAATATTGACTTTGTACGATTAGATCGAAATAATTAAAGTAGAACTAAAAGTTTAAATAAATTATGAAAAACTATAATGCATAGCTAAAAAAGTACAATCATTATTTGAATGATTTAGATAAATATTAGTTATTTAGTTAGATTTATACATTAGGACTGCTAAATACTAGTACTATTTTTTTGGGAAAATTATACATAATAGCAAATTGATAACCTAAAATAAATGGAGTAACTAGGTTTTAATTTAATTGTGCTTCATAACAAACGTTTGCAAAAAATTGTCAGACGCCTCTCTCCCAAATATCTCGCTCGCCACTCTCTTCCGATCTCTCGCTCGCTTCCTCACTTTTTATACAAACAGAAGTATATAAAAAATGTTTCTAATTGTATAAAGTAGAGAAAATTGTATAAATACATATATTTTTGTTCCCCTCCCCCCCCCTCCTCCATTCCAGATCTCGCTCGCCACCCTCGACTTTCTCACTTATACAAATAGAAGCAAAACGTATTAATTGCGTTTCTGTTTGTATAAAGCGTGAGAAATTTGTATATACACATGCAAGTACATATATTTTCGTCCTATACACTTATAGTTATACAATAAAAATATTCTCCTGCCCAGTTTCTTTTGCCTTTCTCTCTTTGTAGTTTTATTTAATTTTTAAATTGTATCTAATTTCTCTCTTTCTCGTTTTATATAATTCGATTCAATTGTATATTCCTTGTCAAGTCTCTTTTGTCTTTCTCTCTTTCTCATTTTATACAAATTCAAATTGTATATAATCGTTCTATACACTTATAATAATACAATTCGTTTTATACACTTCGTTTTTATATAGTTTTCTGTCCAAGTGTCTTTCTCTTTCTTGTTTTATACACTTTGTTTTATACAATTTGCTTCAATGTATATGTATAGCGAATTATACAATTTCTATGTTTGTTATGAAGCGCAATTATGCAAACTTTGTTATATCATACAAATATAAATTTTTTATTTGCTATATGTGAAAGTTGCCCTTTTTTTAAAAGTGGTTAACTCTTCTTTTTTTTTCTAAAACAATAAATAACTTCCCATATTCTTGTTAACAATATTTTCTTTTAAAACATTTGGATATTCTTATTTTCTCTTTCTTCTAATTAATTTTTTTTTTATTATTATTATTATTATTCTTATTGTAATTTTAGTTTGAATCTTTTTTCTTCACCAAACCTCTCCTTTGACTTGTCGCACCATTCAATGCCCCTATTATGGTTTAATAATGTAATTAAAATTTGAAGTTTATAAATTTAGAATTTATGTAATTTTTTTATTAAATAAATAATTTATTTATGTTATTTTTTTTATTATAAGTATAAAATTTTAAAAATTATTAAATTTGAACCTTAATCTCTGACTCCGCCGCCCGGACTATGTCCCATAATTTCACATGCATGTTCTTTCTTGGAAGAAACTGAGAAGCCCACATTATGGGAAGAGTCAACGGATCATTGAAGAAATGGTCATAAGTGAATCCACTTGCATTATTTGAAGGAAAATTCAACAGTGGATCGATCTTCAAACAATGACGAAACTTGAAATTTGTTAGAATTATTAATAAAATTGCGATTGATATATTTTAAAATGTATTTATTAATGAAAGGTATTAATTTTTTATTGTCGCTAAATATGCATTTTTTAGTTGTAAGTTACAATTTTTGTATATGCCCCTAAAACTTTTAGCAACACTGGTTCTAATAACACTTAAGTAATAACGATAAAAACTTTAATAATCTTTGTTAATATCAATGTTTATTATTGCTGAAAGTTATTTTTATTATAGTGTGTACGTGACTACGCTATAGCTTTGATGGTAATTGGATACGAGTAGTTGGTTCATGGTTGAGTGTTTGATTGAACCACAATTTACAACTTTTAGATTTTTGTTGGAAGAAAATTTTGAAACAAATTCTTATATATTTATCCTATATATGTACATAAAATAATTATTTAAAATCATTTAATTTGTTAAAATAATTAATGCCTAAAATTGGATTATTGAGTACTCTCCTTCCCAATTATATTAGGATAGACAATCTCTATCACATCTCATTGAAATGCGAATTTTTCATATCTTACCATTCAAGATGATGTTTTTATCGAATGACTCTTTAAAACTGTATAAATTTAAACCAATATTTTAAGTTTTTATTCTATATTAGATAAATTAAATATTTTAAATAACATTACGGAAATATATTAATTTTTAAATAGTAAAGATCTTTATGATCCCTTAAACAATTTAAGGTAAAAGTACTTACTTAAGCAAAGGCTGGTGTTCATTGCACATTTTCCCCTTTTATTAATTAGTCATTGACATGTCACATGTGTATATTATATATATGATCTAAAATATATATATTTTTATGACTCCTCCTAATATTAGATTGACTTTATCGTAATCATATGTTACAAATTTACACGATGCATATACCAAGGTGGTTACATAATTCAAACCAAAAAAACGCACAACAAATTTAAAATAAAAAATTACTTTACCAAAATGCTTATAGTTATCGCGGTAGTATCTAATAATTAAGTTGATGAAGATATGAGTGGGCTGGCTTTATTTTAGTAATATTTATTCCTACATGAATGATGTAAAATAAAAATTTTCTTATATCTCATTTGATATCGATATTTATATTAAAGTCTAATTAAATTTAAATTTGTGCTGGAAAGTTTCACATTAAGAGTAAAATATATTATAACAATGACGATTTTGTATTAAAAAAAATTCAAACTTGAAATCTCTAATTAAGAATATAGAAATATTTATCACTCCAAAATATGATGTCAATTTGGAAGAAATTATAGGGGACTGAATAGTTGGTCCATTCCAATGTATCTTGAACTAATTGTACACGTAAAGAAGGACATATAATTATTGGCATTTCCTTAAAAGAAAATATTTAATTCAATTATTTTTAAACATAATTAAAATATCTTTGTCATGTAATACTAATTACACTAACGTTTATATCGTATAGTTAATCAAGAAATTTTATTTTATGTCTCACATAAATAATATACTTAGCTTAGTGAGTGGTTTCTGGTCCCACTTACTTATTAAGATAAATGCAAAGAGAAGGCATTTAAAGATTTCTTGCAGATATTCATAATTAAGATAATTATGAGAACAAATTATATAACGTAACTTCTTTACTTTAAGTGAAAGGAATGTTTTCCTTTAATACAGAAATTATTTAGTAATTCGTTAAAATTATGCATGTATTAATTATGAATATATTGATGATATGCGAATTAATTTTTTCATCTTTTATTTGATATAATAATAACTTAATTTCTACTTGAGTATTGGATGTTGTATAACTTATAAAGAAAAAATACAAAAACATGTTGATCATTCTTTACTATTCGCTCTAGTTCATAGTAGTTGTCCACTATTGACTTGACATATACCTCGAAAAATAATAAATAATAAGAATAATATAATTATAGTAACCTTTGAATATTGAATTTAATACTCTGGGAAAAAATGTATTAAATTTTAAATAATATTTAATAGTAAAGATAAAAAAATAGATAAATAATAAAAATAAATTATTCTTAATTTTTTAAATTAAGTAATTATTTTTATATAGTAAACAAATAAAGATGAAGATGGATGAGAGAATTGCTAACAAAAATGAGTAATTTTTACTTGAGATATATTTATTTTTTATACAAACGATTATAAATCACATTCAAGATACAGTAACATATATCCATAATTCCATATTAGTTGTTACATTAAATTTTTGCACGTTTCCTAAAAAATTGTTAAGTATTCTTTTTCTATTACTTCACCATTACGTCGGTCTAAATAAATTATACATATGAATAAGACTAAGCTAAATTTATTTTTAAAATATTTAATGTTAAAAATAATTAATTTTGTCTTAATTAAATAAGATGAAAGTATTTATTATTTTTTACCATAAATATAAGACAGGGGGGGTATTTTTAAAATAAATCATGGCAAGTTAATTCATGAATTTTCAAGGTTTATGTTGCTTGATGTAACCTATTTTATTTTAGTTATTTAATTTATCCAGCACAAAATTGAATTGTTATTATTTTTTAGAAATTGATATTTCAAACTTTTAATAAAATAAAGAAATCTAAAGGACAATGGATTTACTAAGAACCAATAAACTTGTTAATACGTGCATTTGACCAAATATAAATAATTAAGAAGACTTCGAAGGAACAATAGAATTAACGCAAATATCCCAACGTAACCACCAAAGATTAGTAAATATGTTTTTAATTTAACTAAAGTTAATAGCCCCATACTTAAAATAGGTATAGTATTGAACTATGAACTATCGATGTCTTAATACCAGAGGAATCATTATCATAAGGTATAAAGTGAGAGATTAATTTTTTCTTTTATTTTCGTGATAAATTATTAATACAAATCACAATATTTATTTATAAAATAAATTTATTAACGTATATTTGAATCAACCAAATCCTAAGATGAATATTCATAAGTAAAATATCACGTTGAAACTTCATATTTTTGAATAACTTAATTTGATCTCAATTAGCAAGTAACAACTAAACAATTCAAATTATATTTTTTATATATATTTCACAGACGTGATACATAATATTAGAAGTATTTAGATAATCATTTTATAAGTTAAAATATTTAACTGATAAAATAAAAACGAATTTAGATAATATTTTGTTTGGTCTAGCCAAATAAAAATATTTTTTTTAAAACAAACAAAACTTATAAAAGCCGGTTCTATCTTCTATATAAGTCCTTTTAACACTTTCAATACCATAAACCCTCAAATTACTTTCTATTTTTTCTCCAAAAATATCAAAAAGCATAAAGATATAAAAACAAAGCCGGCATCTTGTTTTTCCGATTGCTGAGATTGATCAAAATTTGCTCTGTTTAAGGCTAAGTTAACCATTTTACGCCGGAATCTTGATTTCCCGGTGAACTTTCTTTAAAGGATACAACAAAATGCTTTATAAATGAGATTCATTTTACGAAAATTCATTAGCTTTTTCTGAGTTTCTTCAAATTTATCAAGGACCCAAAAAGAAAAAAAAATTGTTCTTGTATGGGTAAGTTGAAGTTACTAATTTCGATTTTGATTTTCGTTTTAACGGCGATGGTTGCCGGAGTTCCGGCGACGCCGGCGAGTAAAGGAGTGCACAGAAATGCCTATGCTACCATGATGTATATGGGTACACCAAGAGATTATGAATTCTACGTCGCGACACGTGTCATGCTACGATCACTTTCCCGGCTCGGCGTCGACGCCGATCTCGTCGTTATTGCTTCTCTCGATGTTCCTCTTCATTGGGTCCGAACTCTGTAAGTTCAAATTCCTCTGTTTTTATATTTACGAAATTTACCATTAAAAACACGTAAATTTTTAATGCTACGTAACAAGACATTACATACTAAGATAAATATTAGAAGGATTAATTCGATATCGAACGAAATTTTAAATTTTTTATATAATTTTCGATGATTTTTCAATTATATTAGTCATCGGGGAATTAAAGAAAAGTTTAAATTTATAGTTCTTTTGGTGTTGCCCGGTGCAACATCGTACTGGACAATTTTTTAATAATTGAATAAAAATTTTGATTGAATTTTTTAACCATTAATTTGCCAGATGGGCAGTGAGCTTGCACATTTGAGGGTCTAGGAAGGCCTTACGTTGGAGTTCGATTAAATTTAAAATTATTGAAAAATTTTATATTAAAAAATAAATTTTTTTATTAAAGATAATTTTATATATAAAAAAGTTTAAATTTTTTTGATTAAATATATATTATTTCATTACGACCCTTATTCGTGAGAGTCTTAGATTATATCAAAAACAAAAGAATTTTCAAACATTTGTCAAACGGCAGTGGAATTTTAATGACACTAAGAATAAATTAAATTCATATAATATATAGCATGAATGGGTCAATTCTATTTTCATTATTTTTTTTTCTATCTTATAAATGGTTTTAAAAGTCGTTGAATTGGGTCACATAATATAATTAGGAAATTAATAAGTAACATCTCTCTTGATTTTGCTAGCATATTATACGCGTTTCTAAAATAAGATATATTTTAACATACATCTTAAACTATTCTGGTTTATGCTTCGAGATAAAAGTTCGCCTTATTGAATATTTACTGTATTGAGTTGTTTGTAATTTTCAAGAATAATTATTATTAAAAATAAAATAAAGAAAAAAATAATAAATTTTACATTGAATTTCTAAATGATAAATAATTGAGATAATAATTTTTAAAAACAATCAAGCATATACATTGGCCACAAAGCAATAAGTAAGAAATTAGGTCAAAATTTCTCTAGAAATATTGGTCTAGTGGTAGGATTTAATTCACGATAGATAATAAGTGTTAGACATATATCATGAGTTTTGAAGTTTCTGTTAAACAAAAATTTGAAATTCTAAAAAGGTAGAGGGGTCCATCGAATTTCATAATGCATTGGGATGAAAATATAATTTTGTCTACAAGTTTGACATAACTCAAGAACGTAAATATTAAATTGTATAAGAAGTACAAATAAATAATGTAACGCCTGTTTGTTTTTCTAATAACTAAAATTCATAAATTTTTAATTTGATAATAATCGTAAATAGGATGTGATAGGTAAATTAAGTCCATTGCCATGAATTTAAATTCATAAAGACTTTGAATTAAAAAAAGGGTGAGTCAACCATCCACCAAGTTTGAACTAGGGTTTGAAACTATAGTGTTGCTTATAAATTTGGCAAAATCGCTAACTTTAATGTAAACCATGTGTTTTGTATTATCAAACCTACTTAATAGGTATAAATATTTTACCTAAAATCCATCAAGATTTTTCAATAAACATTAAAATTCAAAATTTTAGCTCTGCCCTTTAATAATATATTAGTTGTTTTAGAAGATTTCTCAATTATTATCCCAAAAAAAGAGAAAAACGATAAGTATATCCCGAGCTATCGTAAATGATATGCAAATGCCCTCCGTAATACTTTTAGGACATTAGTGCCCCTGCCGTCCAAAAACTAGAGCATATATACCTTTTATACTAACAGACATACACGTCTCATAATCTTATCCACCGATCTGATATTTATCGACGGATAAGATTGCGCCACGTGTCCGTATTTAGTCTTCTTTTAGAGTGAAGAACATATATGCTCTAGTTTTTAGATGATCGGAGTACTAATGTCCAATAATATGATAGAAGATATCTGCACTTTGGGAGTTTGGTTAAATTAGTTTGTCTTAAAAATGGAGAAAGACGTTTACTAGCTTTTGATTTCAAAGATATAGTTGGCATGAAAAGTCTTTTGCACAGCAACGTGCATGATTTTTTCATTCATCTGATTCCTTATTCTAATCTTTTGGAAGTAATGTAAAATACATACACATTATTTTCTTCGTATCCTACTTGTAGAAATACATTGTATATGTCATTTGTTGTATATTACAACTTGTTGGGGATAAAGATGAAGATGGTCTAATTTCATTTAGAATGATAATAACAAAGGCAGAGATACACCATATGTTATAGTACAAAATTGACAAAGTTCAGTAATTTTAGTCATCATTTATATAATTCAAAAGTAAAAATTTTATAGAGTAAATATATTCAAAAGTAAAAATATCTTATAGATTCATTAAATATATTCAAAAGTAAAAATTTTAAACACATCTCTAAATGATAGTTGAATCATTGGTGTTGGTCCAATTAATTGACTTAGTAGTGTTCAATTAGGAGTATAATTTTACAATTCTTTTGAACTATACTAATTATAAAACAAGACAGATAACCTATCACATGAATTAATATCTTTTACTTTATGAGAGGGATAATGATGATTTGATTACTTCATAGACATTAGACAAATGATATCTTCTTTTGATTTGTTTGTTAATGGCTTGTCTCTAAGCCCACTAATTTGGTTTAAAGTAGATTTGCCATTTTCTGTTTACTAATGTGTATTAACATATACTCCCTCCGTTCATAATTGTTTGACAGGTATATTAAAAATAGATGTGGAAGAATAATTGTCAATTTAAAAAATTAAGAAATGATTAGTCATTTTTTTCAATTCTATCCTTAATAATTACTCTATTTTGTTCAACTAAAAAGTTATTACCCTGATAAATAATTGTGAACGGACGGTGAATAATATTGCCTATGCTAATTCTTTTAGACATGATGTTCAAGTGCCCTAACTTGGTGGAAGCTAATATTTTAAAAATAATTATTTTATAGAGTTTAGAGAACAATTGTTTTCGAATAGTAACAAAAATTGTTTTTCATATTATAAAGAAACAATTTCTTTTCCAAAAGCACTTTTGAACCACCAAACACAAATAGCTACTCAAGTATTAACAAAAGTATTTCTGAAATTGATTAGCTACATACAATTACAAACAAGTATTTTCTAAAATACGAAATTTTAAGAAAAATAAGTATTTAATTTTTGCCAACAACTCAACTCAGACAAGTAGTTAAAAATAGTTCTCCGTTATGTGTGTTTAAAAGTCTAAACAGACGAAAAAAACTTGTTCAGAAATAGACTGGTTGCTAAACCTTGTATTTAATTTAAAACTTTACCGATAAATATATGTTTCTCACTTTTCCTCAATAACTATACGAAAAGTATTATAAATTGCAATTTTATGCATATAATGTGATAAAAAAATACATCATAAAATTTTTGTCAAAGTTCTTATAGTTTGACTCTAGGTTTGTTAGTTACATGTCAAATGTCTGTTATCTGTACTGTATCTCAATCAAGTTAGTACTCTTTACATTTCACTTTGTTTGTCTGGTTTTGACTTGACGTGTTGTTAAATAAGACTTTTGAATCTTGTGATCTTCAGATACGTAGAATGTATCAACATGTCTTTTAATCTTGCGATCTTAAACATGTCATGTGAACTGAAAGGAAAATATGACAACAAATTATTGAAACGGAGAGAAAAAGAATTTTCTCAATGTGGATCATAACAAAATAGAAATGTGAGATAATTCATTGTATGTTATTTGGATGTGCAGAGAGCAGGAAGATGGTGCAAAGGTAGTGAGAGTTGAAAATTTGAACAATCCATACAAAGGGCAATCCAATTTTAACTTGAGATTCAAGTTAACGATGAACAAGCTTTACGCGTGGAGCTTAACAGATTACGAAAGAGTCATCATGCTTGATGCAGACAACCTTTTCCTCCAGAAAACAGATGAATTGTTCCAATGTGGACAATTTTGTGCAGTATTCATTAACCCCTGCATGTTCCATACTGGCCTCTTTGTATTGCAGGTAACAACTTTTCTCCGCGAACTATGAAGTAGTATTAGACGCGTTATACAAGTTTTAGTTATAAATGTTGCATTGCAGCCATCAACAATTGTATTCAAGGACATGCTTCATCAGCTTAAGGTTGGAATGGACAATGCAGATGGCGCGGATCAAGGTTTTATTGGAGCATACTTCCCTGATTTGCTTGATCAGCCAATGTTTCATCCTTCCCTTAATGGTACTAAGCTCCAGGGGAATTATCGACTACCTCTAGGTTACCAAATGGACGCCTCTTATTATTGTAAGTTTTGAGGTCGCGTTGTTTTTGTTAGACAGCGTTTGTTATATTCCAACAATGCTGAAGCAGAGAAATTAATACTGATTTTGTTCTTTTAACTCTTGTAGATCTCAGGCTTCATTGGTCGGTACCATGTGGACCTAATAGTGTCATTACTTTCCCCGGTGCACCATGGTTAAAGCCGTGGTATTGGTGGTCGTGGCCTGTTCTTCCTTTGGGCATCGAGTGGCATGAACAACGACTTCAAACTCTAGGGTAAGACGAAAATCCTCTGTTTTGATATGTCTGTACTACAAGCAACTATGAATTGTGACCAAGTTTGGGTCGGTTATATCCATTCTCACTATTCATATCGTTTCATTTAACCTATTTTGCTAGATTGACCATTGTACTCTTTTCAATGTCAATGAGAAACGTAGTGTATATGAATCCTGACTATCCATGTCGCTCCATTTGAGCTCTTTTTGGACTAATAATGTCCTCTTTTTTCCCCTCATATCGTTGCTGTTATCGTTGTTATCACCTGGAATTACCCTTTTTTGTGAACGTTATGAGTACATTCATCAAAGTTTAATATGTTTGCCGTTTGGCAGGTATGATGCAGAGAGGCCACTAGTACTGATCCAATCTGTACTATACTTTGGAATAATTGTAATGACACGCGTAGCACGTCCCAACTTATCTAAGTTGTGCTATAGACGTGAAAACACCAAGAGCATCTTCCTAATACGATCTGGCCAAAAGCTGATCGCGTTATGGTCCATTGTTGCAGCCTACATTATCCCTTTCTTCTTGATACCTCACACGGTTCATCCTCTCATCGGTTGGGGTCTCTACTTACTAGGCTCTTTCGCGTTATCATGTATAGCAATGAACACATTCTTGTTGCCAATGCTGCCTGTTCTCGTGCCATGGCTAGGCATATTCGGGGTACTTTTGGTCATGGCTTATCCTTGGTATTCTGATGGTATTGTAAGAGCATTGGCTGTATTTGCCTACGCGTTTTGCGCGTCCCCCGTGGCATGGACAGCATTGGTGAAGATAATGTCTTGTCTTAATGTTTCACTTGAGAGAGAAGGGTTCTTGCCTAGGTTGAGTGAATCTGCTGCACCTGCTGGTTTCAACAAGTTGTATTGATGAAATGGAAAATTTGTTAGGTGATGATATTGAAAGGGGGATATTTTTTTTCTTGGGAAGTGTGCTTGTGCTCTTATACAAGCAAAAGAAATTCTTTGATATGTTACAAAATTCTTATATGAACTATTAGACAATGTAAAAATGGGATGAACTTGTTGTAAGTATGTGTTATACTTGGAAATTAGCCAAACAAAATTCAGAATTTTCACCCATTGTTACCATTTTCAGATAACTATTTAGTAAATTACCCTCTTTTATGTTTTTCGAATAACAGATAGAGTTATTTTAGATCACGGAATAAAAATTCTTTTGGTGCAAAATGAAATTTACATGAGAAAACGTAAGATTATGTGTAATAAGTTGCAAGTTACTCAAACGTTAGGTGACATTCTAATGTTCATGTTATGTATGATTAAGATAATAAACATTTAAGAAAAGGGTACATGTTTACAGTTTTTAAAAACAGGGACAAAATTTAAATAGTGAGTTAAAAGGGGACATTTATGCAAATCAGCCTAGAGAATTGGGCTGGCCTTGTCCAGGTAAGTGGATTTGGGCCTCAGTTACCATAACATGGGCTTGGGCTCATGAAACCCACAAGAAGAAGGAAGAAATGAGGATAATATTGCACGAACCGTCTTCAAAAGGGTCAAATTTATCCGCACCGTGTACTTACAACAAGTCAATATATGCATGTCATTTGTTTAAATTTATCGTTCATTTTACTTCATTAAATCACATAATAATATAAATTGCATTGACTTGGTGTAAATACCCAATGCGGGTAAGTTTTTTCCTTCTCCAAATGGTTGGTCTTTTATTTTTATCATCGATCAAACTAATCTTTTGATTTTTGTTCTTTTACTAATTGAACTTTATGTCCAGTGGAATCTCAAACTTTTAAGGATCACGAAAGTAAAAAATTGTTACTCCCTCCGTTTCAAAAAAATGATTCTATTTTCTTTTTAGTTTGTTTCAAAAAGAATAACCCTTTTCATTTTTTGGTAACATTTTAACTTTAACTTTTCACATGGCATGTTTAAGACCACAAGATTAGACGGTATTGTAGTTGTTTTGACATATATAACTTTAATTTAAAATCACAAGATTAAAAAGTCTTCTTTCTTTTTTTAAATTCCGTTTCAAGTCAAACTAGGTCATCCTTTTTAAAATGAAAGAAGTACTTGTTACACGAGTGACTAAAGTTAAAGAACAAGAACAAAAAGTACAGATGACCCATAAATTTCAAAACTAATAATAGTATTCTGCTTTAATGTGAAAATGAGATTTAAAAAGAATGCGTCAAACAAAAAAAAAGTTCGATAAGGCACTTTATTTATTGGTAGATTTGTTCGATGCAAAATAATATGACGAGCGACATCCTTTATTTTTTCACGTAATAATATGACAAAATAATTGGCGTTTATTCATTCTACACAAATATCATTTTTTATTTTTCAATAATTAATAAACAAGATTTTATAGAGAATAATATATTTATCATATAAACGTAAAAACAATTATACGTAATTATACCAAAAATATTATTTTGTTAATAAACAAGATTTCATCTCCTTTTAATTATTTGTTCAATGATATGAGGACCTACATCCAATAATCAAGCAAAATCACCATCCCATCATTAATAGCTTTCTTTGTTTCTTTTGATAATAAAAAGTTCAATTTTTATTTAAGTTAGCAGTTTTTTTGTCTCAATGCCCTTTTTTATGTGGTAAAGTTCATCAAATTTTCCAACGTTCAAAAAAAAACTTTTAAATTCGAAGGGCCCATTTCCATGAACATAAAAAAAAAGAAAGAAAGGGATCACAACATTTTTGGTCCCCAGTTATTAGTTATTGCTAAGTTTTCATTTTACTGTTTGTAATATCTCATTAAATGTATTTTAATTTTAATTAAAAACATACAGTTTTGATCGCTTTGCTTGTAATATTCATACTTTTGTTTGTCATAACTTCCGATATAAGGGAAAGTGGATAATTATAATTTGAACTATAGTAAATAATATTTATGAACTATATCATCTATCATATTTATGAAATATTGATGTTTTTGTTGTGTAAAAAATTAGCATAGATATCTATCGTAATAATAGATAAATATGTGTCATAATTTTCTCTACAAATTCGATATTTATTAAATATCGAATTGACGGATAAAATTGTGTTACGTATCCCTATTTCGATTAAAATGAATGACTATTTACGATAATTTAGAGATATATTTATTCTTTTTCCCCAATATAATAATCTTCTGACCACTTAGTAATCAAGCATGTATTATGTTAAACATAGAATGTTACTTTTTTATTTTATTTTTTTCAAATAAGAATTTAGAAAAATGCATATTCAATCGATTGATTGATAGTTAAATATGTTTTGCTTAATATTAGAAGGGATTGATTCACCTTTAATTAGATGTCTTAGGTTCGAATCATAAATATAAATAATATTCTAACAATCACATGAGCATTACTCTCAGAATAAATCTTATACTACGTGATCTAAATTCAATTGGAGCTCCGATACAGAAACCGAATACAAATTTATTAATAAAATCTCACAGTGGGTCTCCACATGGTGACAGCAACTACTCTAAGTACAAAATTGTATAGGCCATACTAGGACCATTTTTTCTCTTCATGCATACCACCATTACTATTAACCTATGTTTCCCCCACATGCAGCTGCCTAATAAAATGACCGTTTCAACATTTTATTTATTCCTAAATTCAGAATGATTAGAAGCTAAATTATTTGTGCCATACTTTGTTCATAATCAACGTTTATTTAAGACACATAGAATAACTAAATGTTTCAACTCGATATGAGAATGTGTAGGACACCATAACTTATCTTTATAATTCGTTAGTTCAATATTTCATCACTTACAAAATAATTATATAAATTTATACGTCAAAATTTATATGTCACATCTGCATCTCGATACTATCAAAGTTAGTCTAGACGTAATTTTTAAAAATAGTGAGTTAATTATATTCACTAAATTGAAAAGCAAAAAAAAAACCATTAATGTATACAGACAGTTGCAGAATTGACGACATGTATATCTGGTATTTAGATGATTCTGAGTCTCTGACTGACCTCTGGTAGGTAGCAGCCATTTCTCTGTCTTTATAACAGAAAAAAAATTAATAATTTGAATAAGTTACTCAAAAGGGATTCAATTATCTTTATTGGAGGCTAAATTTATTTTCTAGTTATGAAATGTACTATATATCTTGAAGTATGAGAATTAAATTCAAAAATAACTACTCACAATTATTTATATAAATAATAATATTATTATAAGAGTGTATTTAAAAAAAGGTGTTGTATACATAATTTTATTTTGACTTTATAAAGATAAGTTTCTTCGGCTTATTATATTCTTAATATCGTGTGATCAAGCTCTAATTTTTGTGCCATAGTGTCTTATTAATATGTTACGATAAGAATAATATATATTGAAATAGTTTAACTTTAAACTTAATAAATAATTTTTATAGCCACAAAAATATATGGTAGGTTCAACTTTTTTTAAAAAAAATTATCATATCACACAAATTTATAGAAGAATTCTTTTAATTTTGTGTCCTGTCAAATTATATTACATAAATTAAAATAAAGAATTAGATTACATAACAATCAAGTGATTGAGTACTGAAAGATATTATAACATAGTTGATCAGTTAAGTGGTTGAAAATTATGAGTTGAAAAATGACGTTTGGTCATATAACATGGTGACAAGCATTTCAAGTTCTCAAATACTAAAAAACATTAATATTTGAACTAAATTATAACGCTAGCTAAATATTTAGCTATTTTCTTTTAAGTCTAAGTCTTGATAAACAAAATTATCCGAATGTGCCATCAAAGGAAAAGCACTATTAAAGTTTCTTTTTTTTCTCATTTGTTTTTTAAGATAGTGTTACTTTTTACTGCTAATCAGTAATTATCAGCACAGAAATCTAAGTTACAAATGATGGAAACAAATATAAGAGTCCAACTTCTTGACTTTTGAGCAAATGGTCACACATTATAAAATACTTACAATTTAATTATTTTATACATTTACACATTCAACACAAAAAATATGACCGTTACATATTCCACATATATATACTTCATTCACTCTTATTAACATTCTTCTCTAAATCCACAAATATTCTCTCTCAGCTCATCACATTCTTTTCTCAATCATTTATCTACTATTTTAATTTAATTTAATTTAATTAATGGCTCTTTTAATTAATTCTTATTTTACTTTCACTATTTTCTTGCTAAATTACTTATTTTTTCATGCAGATTCAGTTACCAGTACTACTCCGTCACATTCAAATTCCGTTAAAAATCGCCCCCGAAAATGGGTCGGGCCATCGGGTACCCGACATATCTCCGTTAATGTTCACGGTTTCGGTGATTATCAATCGGTTCAAGCTGCGGTGGACTCAATTCCTCAAAATAACAACATGAATATCATTATTGACATTTGCCCCGGTTATTATATGTAAGCGTTTAAGTTATATACACTATCACAAATTAAATTACATGTATATATATATATATATATGAAAGTAATTTACGATGCTATTGTCTGGTATAAAAATTAATTGTTCTTTCATTAAATACGTGTATTTAATGATTCACACCTTTCTTAATTATAGGTCAATGCAGGACACTTGAAAAATTTATGATACGAATTTTCCTTATATTAATTATTTACCATGTGTAATTAGTATCTATATATTGGTATATGAGTATATAATAATTAAGGGACATTTATTTTTATTTGTCTAAGTACGTGAACATATTGTTTCGTACGTTTTCATTTATTAACCTTATTAGTATCTTTCTATAGGTCACGGGTGTCTCTTACTTCCTCATTTTTAATTTTTTCTTTTGGTCCATAATAATTTTTGCACTTTCTTTTAATGCATAAAATGTACTATATTTTACTTATAATACACATTATAATTAGTTTATAGTCTCAATTAACTTGAAAAGATGAATAGTTTTTCTTTTTCTACCCTTCCTACGAGCTCCCACGACTCTAGTAACCTTCGAATTGAAAGTAAGGTGTGTTTACCATCTGAGCAACTCTCTCTCGTCAAAAATAAATAGTTGATGATGAGAATAAACTTAAAAAGAATATATCTTTTTCTTTATATGCTATTGACAACAAGAAAAAATTAAAGTATAG